GAGCGGTTAAATTAACTGCTTACTTTAAAATGTCCTGCTTCCAAAATCAAGTTATAATATTGTGAAACGCTGTTGTTTCAGCCATAATTTGGACAACTAATCTAACAAGTACAACTAATAATTGTTTCATACCAATGAAATTCCTGCTTATTCAACCACGTAGTTTTTGTTGATCATTAGGTTGGTCTTAATGAGAATGAGATAAGTGGCTTATATACTTTATCATATAAAAGTACCGTGGTCATTTTTTTTAAAACTATCTTGAAAAATATCTAAACTTAGGCAATAAAATTTTCTTGCTAATTGGGAGAAACCTTAATGTGCTTGGCTGCATTTCCTCAGATATGTGTTTTCTGATCTGGAAAATGTTAGTCTGTGGCCATGATAGGATATGTTTTTTAAGACAGTTGTTTTCTTCCTCTATATTGACGTGAAAGTATGTTATGGTTCCTATTGTCTTTACTTGGAAACTTGCCTCTACTTTTCCATATTGCTTTTCAGCAATATAGTTACATGAAGAAGTGAGACATTTTAAAGATCCTAATCTTTTGTTTTGTTGGTGTGGTGTGTGTGTTGTGTTTTGTTTTTTTTTTTTTTTGTGTGTGTGTGTCCCCTGCTGTATCTTGTCAGTACATGCATAGGAGATAGCTAATGTGATTTGTGCTCTCTGTTTTTATGGTGATCTCCACACCCCCCCACCCCCCCCCAAGTTACTGCTGTCTTGTCTTTAGGAAGATTACTGCCTTGTTTTAATCTCTGTTGTTTTAAGTATAACAATATTGCGATATTGTTTTCAAGCCTGTTTTTCTGTTAATACAAAATCCTGCAGGTAATGCATGTAAATCAAGGATGAGATAAGCAGAAAGTTATGTTAATTTTTCACATTTTGCTTAATTTTGTTTACCTCCTAAAGTTTAGGTTATTCAGTGATAGCCAAATGAAAAATTGAGTTGAAAAAATAATTTTATATCTAACAAAATTGCATTCACTTGCAGGCAGGATGTTTTAGAAAAGTGAATCATAGGAAATCTTTACTGTGATCTTGCTTTGAGTTTTTGTTTTATACTGAAACTCAAAATGCGTTAAGTTCGGGGTTTCACATAATGAGTGTGGGTGGCTTTTTTTTTTTCTTCAGCCGTAACAGTTGGTAATCTCTGGCAGTTGGTAGTATGTAAACTTTCTCTGATTCTTTCTTTCCTGTTGCAAATGTCACTCTTGCGTATCAGTATTTCTAGCAAATGATTAATGCAGCAATCAGAACTCTCGTGTTCTAATTTTAGTTGCATCTTAGCCTAGATACTTCAGATTGAACAGACTTGTATTTGTTTCTTATAGAAAGTAAAAGAAAATTGAAAGCACCATACAGCACAATATTTTTTTCCACAACATGTAATGGACACATTACAATTGTTTTGCTGTGACAGCTTGCTTGAATGTGGTAATTATTTCTGGTTTGTGATAGTTTCCTCTCAGGTTTATAAATACACTGCATGCTAACATGACAATCTTGTGCAGTTCTTTCATTTGAATCCTACGTGAGAATTCCTTGCATATGAAAACAGTAGCATAGGGCAGTCTTCAAGTAGATTCTGAAAAGTATTGGGTTCTTCTAAAAGTCTCTAGTAGCAGCCAAAATGCTTTGCATCGCCCTCATCCTTTATTTATTGTCATTACCTTGCAAAGCAAACTGTCCCGCTAAATTTTCTCTAGCGGTAGCTGACCTTCAAAGTCAATTTTTCTCTCTTATACCGGTATTTGCACATTATTTCTTATTTCCTCTCTTCTTTTGTTCATTGCACTCAAATTCTAGCAGTTTGTGGTACAGCTAGAAAAGTGATATGTTAATTTCTGCCAAAAGTGCCTGTGTAAATGATCTATTTGGGTTAGGTGAGCACAAAACTGAAGGGAATAGTTTTAAGTGGAATCCTAGGATTTTGTTTGCATTGCTCATATGAGAATTGGTGAACAACAAACCCCCACGTTTTGCAAATGAATATAAACTCCTATTGGGTACAACAACTTCTGTATTGGTGCAAATACTGCAAGCAATTTGAACAGTATTTGGCTGGCAAAGGTAAAGGTGAAAAATAACTAAAAGCCTGAATAATGTCAAATTCTAGTATTTATTGAGATTCATTAGCTATGGTTAACTGTGACAGTGCTTGCTTCCCTCTGCCGAAGAATTTGGGAGTAAATGATAAATTTTGAGATGAGGCTGATCCTCGGATGGTGCTCACAAAGTACGTTTCTACTGGTACTGGCAGACTCTATTTTTGCAAAATGATTACTTCTGTCTGCAGCTGCTAAGGATGGCACTTTAATGTTTGTTGTGAGAAAACTAGTAACTGTGTCAATTAGGTTTTAAAGAGTAATTTCTGAGATAATGCAGCAGCTGGTAGATGAGAGTGAAAAGCCATGTTCCAGTTGCAGGAGCTGCTTGTGGAACTACATGGAGGCAAACAGAGAGAAGGGTAAAGGAGACATGTCAAAACAGCACACAGAAGTGCAAACAGTGATGAAACTTTATGTGCCTGTGTGATTTGCAACTTGACACCTACTTTAGGTGGTAGGAATACATTTCCCACTCTTTATAGCTGGCTAAGCAGTATCATAGGAGCTGTACGTGGCTCAGATGATTTAAGTGTGGCTTGCTGTTTGCTGTGGTATACTTAGCAGGTGTGTCAAGTAGACTGATAGCAGAGAGAGCGAGTGGAAGGAGTCTAGCTCTTGGACATGCTAAAACCTAATTGTCAAAATTTAAGTCTAGAAGTTTTGCTATTAGTGGAGGAGAAAAGTCTTTTGTTCAAAAGCTAAAAGTCTTTTTCTGAATGGAAGGAACTGTAGTACTAAATTTCTAGTTCTGACTCCCCCTGTGTTTGAGTAACATCTAGTCATCAGGTCTATTACGTCCAGTAAGTGGATTCCCTACGCTGGGTGACAAAAGGTAAGATACAGTCAGGGATATGCTGAAGGATGCCTTGGAAAGATGTTACAAACTAATAAATAGGCTTCAGAAAGGATGTGACAGTACTATTGCTTATTAAGCCACTGCTTATTGTTGGTTTTGGAGAAAACATCTTGGACCAATTATTGCTTTTAATTGTGAGAGACTATCCAGTTACTGCGTCAGGTCTCCAAGCTGACCTATATGTCTCCAGATGTTTTAAGTCTTGCTTGACACAAATGCTTCCATACCTTCCTCCAGGTATTTACTCTTTTGTTTGAAATCACATTTGCAAGTTATTGAAACTGTAACGCTCTAAATCTAATCTTCAGTAAGAGTGCTTGTAAACTATTTTTATAGAGTCCTGTGCTGATAATTACTTCAATTTCCTATGAGTCTGGTGGTTTACATGGAAAAATCCCAGGGTCTCATTAAAGACTCACGCATACGTATGCAAGAGCTGAACTTAGAGGTCACTGCACTTTCTGATTCGAGGACATACTCTCATTGTGTCTGAAGAGAAAGCTCCTCTTGGGAACTAAAAGGGGAAAACTGTAAATAAGTGCAGGGATTAGACTGAATCCAATATTTATGGCAATGCCAAGTTACATGATTTAGCCCCATTAAGTTTAATGGAATTATTAACTGCTGAGTATTTTAAATAAGATTTCTCAGTCTGGATGTAAATGAAATGTGACCTTGTATTTCAGCTTCCCAAGTACATGCAGAGAGTTCAGCATTTTATGTCTAAACATTAACTTTCATAATATTCCTTTGATGCTGAATTTTAGTAAAACTCTTAAAGTCATCAGCTAATTGAACATTAAAATATTCTTGGTTATTGCTGTCATCTTTGGAGGCTGCAGTACTCAGAAAATTTCAGGAAGCAGTTATCCTAATTGCTTAATTCTAAACAAATAAATACATTTGTTATCCATTAGGTCACTGTTAATGACTTAAACTTGACTCCATTGTAATTGCAGAAATATACTGAAAATGACATAAGAAGCTGTTGTCTTGCTGAAATAAAGCAAACTGAAGAGAAGTACACTGAAACTCTGGAATCGATAGAAAAAGTAAGATGCTACTTATAGAATTGTAACATATATTTTTATAACAGTCTAGAAAATATGATGACATAGTCAATGTGTATATATACTTTTTTTTCCTTGCAGTTTTTCATGGTGCCGTTGAAAAGGTTTCTGTCAACATCAGAGTTTGATACTGTTTTCATCAACATTCCTGTAAGTAATTGCATATTTCATGAACAGACACAAGGTTCATAGCTGGTTGTGATAGATTTGTGTTGTATATTACTGCACAAAATGATTATTTGAAATATGGTGCCCAGTGCATTTATGTAGATATTAGGGTAGTCGATAAAAAAAGATGTTCACACTATTTCATTTTTTTCTACTTGAGGGAATAGGATAAGAGAAATGGTATTATTGTGTCAGATAGTGAGCGGTTATAAACTGGAGTATCTTTGACCCTTAGAAGCTTATAATTTATAGAAGATGGGTTATCTTCTAATATATGCTGGTATTTTAGTCATGGTACAAAGCTATGACTGTTAGATTGCCTACCACTGTATGCTGAGTGGTACTTTCATGAGGATTTCCATAGCTTCTCTGCAAAACCTTGTATCTACTCTGGCTCTGTCATCCTTGAAGATGTTTTAAAGTTAAGATAACTCACAGTTTTGGATTCAGAATCTGGCACTGGAAAGGATAACTGAATCCTCTATGAAGAATTTGGAGACTTCTTTATTTGACTGAAATTGTAAAGGTTTCTGTGATAATTACGTTGTTCCATTTATTTTTGACCTAATCATAATAATATGACCATTTCCATATATTTTAGTTGATGTAAGTATTCAGCACATGTCTTTACTCTATCTGACTTTAAAGGAAGACGTCAGGCAGGTCTGAAGCTGTTGTCAACACAGATAAATGAAAGGAATGCTCTTTTATGAGGCACAAAGGGTCCTCAGATTGTGGCCCATGGGCCACATCAAACTTTTAATGCCTGCAAAAGATCACCTCTGTTTTTACCATCTCTGGCATATCCCACAGGCTCTCAGGGCTGTTGGAGGAGATTTATTTATTTTTTTTTATTCTGTGGGAACCTGGTCTGTAAGAATGTTTTAGTTACTGTCCCAGGACCATCCTGACAGAAGCTAAGTTATGACAGTTATTACACTGATGATGATACCTGACACCTTGCCATGTTTGTCCCGCTATTAAAGTTTTCATCCTGAATCTCAATTGCTGTAATTTCCTTCTCTTTGAATTTTAATCCAAAATACTGCCACAGATATCAGTAATCTACTTGTCGTCTTGAAGTATGTCAGCTGCCCACAGAGATCCCTTTGCTTTTAAAAACAAATTTATATTCTGTCCTACATTAATGTTTCTTATTCATTGCAAATAAGGCCCTGATGTGCCTTACTGAAGTTAGTGTAAAGCTCCTTCTTGAGGCTCCGTGTGCCCAGGCATGTTGACTTATGTTCATTGAAAGCCCTAAAGCCAGCCGATGTGAAACGCTGCACGGGGCTATAAAAAGGGCTTACATACTGTACGCACAAACTTAGAGGTCCGCTTGCTTACTACTTGTTAAACGTAAAGGGATCAGATAAGAGGAGTAAAAAGAACAAAACCTGTTTATTTCAAACTAGAAAGACACGTAGTAAGCTTGTCTTTAGGTTGTTATACTTCGCTTTTCATTATCAGCATTCAATTATTCTGCCGTTACAACATGGTGGTTATTTCTGACTCCAGTAACATTTCATAGGCAATGAAGAACATTAAAAGAAATATAGGACTTGCCTAAGCCAAAAATATGTGCAAACTCTGCTCAGACCTTGTCTCTGTGGCAGTTCCTCAGCAGGAGGGCTGGAGGGCAGTGGAAGCTTGTTTTAAACTAAAAATAGCTATTACACAGAGCTCTACGGTGAACTGCGATGTGGAGAGCAAGTGCAGTGTTCTCGGAACAGGATGGATTTGCCTCTGTTAAAGGGTTGTGGTGAAGGATTGGTGCTTTAGGGTCATGCTATATACACCTTATATAGACTCTGAAAGATGCTTACTGGACAAAATAATCTGCTGTTGTCAAATACATTTTATTTTTAAGAAAAAACAAAACCAGACCACCCCAGACTACTCACTAGTCTAAAGGGAGTGCCTTTCATTAGAGCTCAGATTTCAAAGTTCTGTCCTATAAAACACATACATGGCTCTATATTTGTGTGTGTATCTATGTGTATATATGTCTGTGTATATATGTACATTTATATGCATTTGTATGTACATCTGTCTGTGTACATACATGTGCACACATATATAGATGCATTTGTATGCGTGGATTTGAATTGAGATGTATGTATGTTTTGGAAAGAGAAATGGAACTATGTGTAACAGATACCGAAGTGTTGGAACTTTCATTAACTTCTAATGATGTTAACATCAATTTAGTTTAAAACTTGACTTTGAATTGGAGATAGACACTCAAGAAGACATTTTGTCCCCTTAGCATTGAGCTGTTTTTCAGGAGTGTTACTTAGTTCAGTCCCTGTGCACTCCTGAGGAAATGTGCTCCTGTAACATATTAATCGGGAAGCATTTCTATAGTAACGTCTGTCTGCCGCAACTTAAGATTCTGAGGATATAGCCATACAGTTGCTAGCAACTGCATTTGATCTGTTTTAAGTTTTTGTTCCCTCACCTGGGATGCGATTGACCTTGTGTGTAATCTTAGTTTTGATCAGTGTGAAGTGAAATGTTTTCACTTCGTTCACAACTCAGTATTGCATATTATTTTTGTAGTATGTCACTTACTGCATTAAACCATCTTCAATGGCTTTTTTTTTTTTAAACGATCCTCTATTTTTCATTGCAGTGGTCTGTACACTGCTTACAGTCAGCTATCCTATTTTCAAAATTTTTAACCTGTTTTGATTTAATTTCTTGTGAATTCTCTGAGTATCCATGCGGTATTAAGGCTGATGTAATCTCCTGTAGTTGCTTACAGATCTTTGTATAATAGTGAACAAGTAAGGTGAGTTGCTACTGCACTCAGGGAGCAAATCTTTTGGCAATATTCTTGCCTTTCTCTCAACTGTTAGTTGCCTGCTCTATTGGGAAACTCATTATGATTGCAGTTAACTTAGCACTAGAACATCACTAATTGACCAATGTAATGTACAAAACTAATTTTTCACAGCTCAGGGACATGAATCATTAGTTTATCTTGTCACTAAAGCATTTACTTGACTTGCTTAATTTTAAAATTATCATTATAAAATTAAGATGAATTAACAGTGCATGTTCCAAGCTAGAATAAATTAGCCTCTAATAGGTACTTCTTGCAGTTTAGTTTTTCTTGTCGCACTATATGGAAGATGTGGCAAACCTTGAAATTAGGTTCTACTCTCAAATGATCTGTTTTCCAATTGATTGAAATTAATGAATCTAACATGAAATAATGTATTTTTATATTCAAAGCTTTAAGTCATTCTGTTTTAAAAAATCTTTCCCCCTCCTCATTACTGTTTTTAAGGATTTGGTGAAAATTCACAGGAATCTAACACAGGATATCAATGATTCCATTGTTAACAAAAATGATCAGAACCTATATCAAATTTTTATTAACTACAAGGAAAGGTAAGATTTATGCACCCTTACTAATTGTGATAATCTGTGCTCAATTCAGTGAAGTATTTTACTGTATTTCTGTCTGAATATTTCTGAAACAGGATTGAATTTGATGTCAGTATACTTTTCAAGCTAGTGTTTAGTGTTTTGAGCCTGGAAGTCAAAATGTAACCTATTGTTATATGAGCCCTCCCTCTTCTTATCTCCAGTTTTGGCAATATTGTTACACAGACAGGTAACATGTATATTTTGAACAAAATTTGGATAGCTTATTTTGCACAGCTTTTTTTTTTCATGCAAATAATCCCAGGTGTTTTATAGCATGTACCTGTATTGTTTAACAGATAAAATGTTATAAAAGGAGAAGCAGCAAAATAAGGCAAGGATATATATATATATATAAGGCTATTCCAGGTTAAAGAAAACAGAAGAGGTCATAACTTGAAAGAAGAGAGAGAGCAGGTGCAAAAGAGAAGAGAGAAGCGACTAGGGTCTTACCCTACCCTGCAGTAAAAGGTGTGACAGTAAAGCATACATGCTCTACCTTCAAATGGTGAAAAACAGCCAACCTGGTAACAGGATAGCTGTGGCAGCATGCTGTGCCTTGTAGGGTAATTGCCAATTTTTTTACCCACCTTTTCAGATTGTTTTTTTCTACCAGCACTGAACAACTGTTGGACTGTACAGATGAACTTATATGCATGTGGTACTTTGCTGAAAGACACTTGTACTGTGGGCTACAGTGCTGACCTACCTTGAAGTAACCCTTGGGTTGTGGTTAAAAATTAGTTCTTTCTGGGACTGGAGCGGGAAGGACCTGTGGGAGCTAATTGGATTTGCTTGAGGGTGATGGGGAAGGAGGATTGTTGCAGTAATAACAGGCTTGTGAGAAATTCAACAGCAGCAGCCGGAAAACATTAGACAGGAGAGCTGTTTTCTGAGGGAGGAGGGTATCCCCATCTCCACATAAACAGTCTTGCCTTCAGAGACCCTCTGTCTCATCTTTTATGTTGGAGGAGGACATAGTTATTTCCTAGGCTGTTAGACCTTCTGCTGCTGTAGGAGGGAATTAGGGGACAAGAAGTTGTTCTGGAAAATACTTATCTTTCAAAAGTAGTTCTGAAATGTGTGCTGAAAGAGGAACAAAGGACACTGAGAAGAAACCTCAAGTTTATATTACACAAAAAGGAAACAGGTGGAGGTAGACTCAGTGTCTTAACCACGTAGAGATTAAAGTAATCAGAAGTGGTTAAGTGTTAAATCAGTATCATATTTTTAATTGTGAAAAAAGAAATTTAAAAACAAAAGAACATTAGAAGAGAGAAAAAGTAATTAAGGAGACTCCAATGGAAAGCTCATGGCAACCCCCAAAAAAGGGATTTGAAGCATGCAGAAGGAATCGCTTCAAGAAGTACATGAAAAGGTGAAAGGAAACAGCACTCTGCATGGGACTGGCAGAAAGAAGCACCCCAAACAAGGGAAAGAAACCCCTATCATAAAACCAGGTTCTTTCCAGAAGCCTGCTGCCCTTGACAACTGTTGAAAATTTCTTGAGTTTTCATACACTATTATTTTGATCTGAGAGCTCACAGGGTATAACCTGGTAGAAACTGTTGGGCGATAAATCAGTTTGGGTAACCTACAAGTTCCTTAAAGGATAGCTGTAATTAATCCTTTTAAGCCTGTGTTACAGAGTTTCTTCACTGCCACCTTGGAAACCTACAGTGTTGTAAATACTACAGACTATTGTTCTGTTAAACAGTAGTTAAACTGCTTTTTAATGAGTCCTGTATTTATCAGAATGTATACATGTGAATATTAAAGGAAATTGCAGCAATTTTACAGCATTTTGAAGGTAGATCAAAGTTGTATTCTCCTGAATATTCTTCCTTGTATTCATGCTGCCCATTGAAGTCTGTGGCTAAATCCTATCCTTGCTTATTTAGGCACTGCTCCTTTTGAAAGGAGGATTGTTAACAATGTATTTGTGAAAAATGATCAAGGAATGTTCTTAAATAAGCAAATGTGCCTTTTATTCTTAATCTCTTCCTTTGATTTAGATTGGTTATTTATGGACAGTACTGCAGTCAAGTGGAGATAGCGATATCATGCTTAGACAACATCTCTAAGACAAAAGAAGATGTTAAATTGAAATTAGAGGTATCAATATTTTTTAACATGTATATATACATATATAAAACCCCCACATGTTTCTATGAATATGCCCTGCTTCCATCCAAGTTAAAAACTTTATGATGAAAAACTAACTGGACTGATACATGAATGTGTTTCTCTTCCTTTTTGTTTTTTGGAGTCTCCAATCAAATGAATACGTGAGCAGTTGTGGTACACATCCTGGCACTGAAGTGAATGGAGTTTTGCCACGACATCAGTAGGGTTAGGGATTTTTTTGGGAAGTGATCATCAGTGATATCCTTCTGTTTAATGTGACATCTCGGCCAAGAACACAAAATTGCAGAGTCACTCAGATTGGGAGGGACCTCTAGGCTGAACAAGCCCTGGTCCCACAGCCTCATAGGACTTTGCATCTGCCACAACCACTGGGTCCTTTCCAGCAAAGCTTCTCCCTAGCTGGTCAGCCCTCAGCGTTAGTGTGTCCCTGGGTAGTGCATACCAGGTGGAGGACTTTGCCTTCGGCTTGTTGCCTTCATGTGATGTTCCTGTTGGATATGCCCTGAAGAGTGTAACCTGCACCTCCAATCTGGTGTTGTCTGCAGACTTGCTGTGGGTGTCCTCTATCTTTTCCTGCAGATCATTGCTAAAGATATTAAATGGGAGGGGTCCCTGGACAGACCCCTGAGGAGCTCTACTTGCAACTGTCCCCCAGGTAGTGTAGGAAACATTAGTCACTGCTCTTTTTGAGCCTCATGATCTAGCCAGTTTTTCATATACCTAGTAGTTCATTCATCTGGAGTGTAACCATCCCAACCTGGATACCAAGATGCTGTGGGAGATGATATTGAAAGCCTTGGAAAAGTCAGGGTAGACTCTCCCCACCCATTCACAGATCTAGCCATTTCATTGTGGAAAGCAGTCAAGTAGATCAAGCACTAATTTACTTGTGGTAAACCCGTGCTACATATGCCCAGTCACCTTCTTCATGTGCCCAGAAATTGCTTCCAAGAGGCCTTGCTCCACAATTTTTGCAAGGGCTGAAGGGAGACTGACTGGACTGTAGTTTCCAAGATTACTTTTGCATTTTTTGAAGATAGGTGTAATATAAAGACACCCAGTCTTTTTTTGCTTAGCTGTTATTGCCATATGAATTGTTTTCGTTCATTTTGTTAATATTCTTTATCTCAAGCTTAATATAGTTGCTCGGCACATATATCACTGAGTTTTCATATATATCGCTTGAATATTTTTATTTTCTAACTCTCTTGTCTTATTCTTTTTTCTACTTTGAACTAGGAATGTTCCAAGAGGGCCAATAATGGGAAATTTACATTGCGGGATCTTTTAGTGGTTCCAATGCAGAGAGTGCTAAAATATCACCTACTGCTCCAGGTATGTTATTTCTGAAATTTAAGGGGGCTGAGAGCAAAACTGTCATTGTTTATCATCAGTGGATTGTAAGAATAAGAGCTAAAGGTCTTTATCAAAGGGAGATAATTGACATTTCCATAGATTTGAGGGTGATTTGTTAGGAAATAACATCCAGTCAAGTGTGGGTTTTCTTACAGAGATCATTCCTCAGAGCTGAAACACATCTAGGGGAAAAAGAATAAACCACAATTGTTTCCTCAGTATCTGAACCTTTAATTGTTGGTATGTTTAAAATGGTTAGTAGTACCAGACTATAATCATGGTATTTTGAAATGTGAACCATTACCTCCAAAAGAGGAAGCTGGACTGTACTTAGAGCATACTTTAAAGATGCTTCTTTGCAGTCATAAATTACAATAAAGCCGTATTTATTTTGAAATGCTGCTTCTTATAACCCAGAAAGCATTAGCTTTTGCAGTTAGTCCTGTAATAAGGGTGGAGAGACTTATAAATTTAATTTGATGGCTGTGCCAGGAGACTCATTAGTTCAGCTGCAAAGAAATATATTACTATATTAGACTGTCAACCCTGCTGATGCTTGTAAGATGTCGTTTTAAAAAGATCTACTACTTGTATGTGAAGCATAATTTTGACTCTGCAAAGCAACATACATTCCATAATATTAAACTTTTTGAAATATTTCTATAAATGAGTCATCGATATTTTGATCAATGGAAAATAGGAAAAAAATTGAATGGTACAACTACTTTTTAAAAAAACTTATGAGATCTGAGTTATGATTTTATAATCAACCTGTATATTACGAAAAGATGATATACGATAGGTCACTATGCTCTGTGCGATACTACGGTATACATCATACAAGAAATATTTTATAGAGTTTGAAAAACAAAAATCCAGTAAATTATTAGAATTGTAATGTGAAGTATGAATACTTATTCCTTCATTTCCTATGATTTTAGCAAGTTATTATATTAGCTGATATGTATAATTCTCTTCTCAAATTATAAAGAAGAAATAATCTGTTTCCCCAAAAGGTTATTTTTTCACTTCATAAAACCCAAAATTTTTCCATATAGAAAGTGGCTAAAAAAAATTTACATTTGATTTAAATATGTCTTCTGAGTCAGCTTAATCTTAGGTGTAATAAGATGGTGACTTCTTTTAAGCAGTGCACAGTTTAGTTGAGATTTTATTGCCAGCATACATCCTGCTTTGCAGACAAGTGCATGCTTTGGAATGGATGATATACTGTACAGTAATGTGCAAATGAACTCTAGTGTTTACCTGTGTTTTCAGCATACACATACAGTAATGATCTGATTTGGCAAGTTTTAAGTGCTAGACAGACCAAATTAGCTTCTAATGATGGTTTGTTATCAGCTAAAGTCAGTGTTTAGGCTATATAGCAATCATTCTTAAACACTTGCCAACTATCTGTTTGCAGTAGTCCCCACTCAGTTATGGGCTGCTCACTATGGGGATGAAAATGGGTTGTGTTTTCTGGTTTTGCATTTTTCTTTTTTTTTGGGGTGAAGATGAGCAATGATAACTGCAATTTATGAACTGACAGACAGTGGGTGAAAAGTTTTAACTGCTCTGTCCACAGGAGCTGGTAAAGCACACTACTGATCCCATGGAGAAGGCAAATCTAAAACTGGCACTTGATGCAATGAAGGTAAGTATTCATGGCAATGAAGTATTTTTGTCTTTGTTGGCAGTTAATATGGTAGCTCAGAACTATGTTTCCTGGAGGAGATAATGTTCTTCACGGCAGATCAAACATGTTTCACAGATCACTGTGAGCTTTGTGAGTGTATGTCAGGGCAAGTATATAGTTGAGGGCTTTGCTCAAGTCTGGAAAACAAGTTCAGTAGTTTTCTGATGTGGAGGGTTTATGAAATGGAACTTCCTTATTTCAGTTTACTTCTACATCATTTTGCTGTCATATAATGAGATGAAAAACAGGTGTTTCAATAATGTTGGTCTCGCTTCCAAAATTTAGAAACAGTTCTACCACTGTAAGTCAATTTTAATCAAGGTCAGTAGTTTCCCAGTGAGATGAAGACAGTTATCTTTCCTTACAAGACTTTTTTTCTGTCATCTTAATATGATCTCTGTGGCTTTACCTTTGAAAGCAGTAGTGTCTTTCTGGAGGTAGTGTCTGTCACTGTACATTCACCTGCAAGTGGTACAAACAAATACTTTATAAAATAGATGTTCTGCCTTATGTATAAGGTAGTATACTATGTGTTCCTCTGCACAGCTTCAGAAATGAAGCATGGTTCTGCTTCAGTTGGCTTCATGGCATGAATTGTGACGTTCATGTGCTGGAACCGTGAAATTTTTTCTGCCCTTTGTGGTGAAAGAGGGAAAGAAGGCAACACGATGTAGGTCATATCTCCTTCTGTTGTAATCTGTATGGTCGATAGAAGATGCTGAAGTCGGACTAAGTTAGTTTTGGGTCACACAGCTGTCTGGTATTATGTGACTGTCTGCCTTGAATGCCTGGAATATAGACCAGCTCACAAATGAGACTTTTGGATCCCCTTTTTTGTCATCTGGTTTTGTGGAGTGAGTGGAGAGGGAGCCACCATGATAAACTCCCACGGAGGTGTCTGAAATGAGATGGCACAATGTTGCTTCCATCTAGTGGCAAGCCATGCATCCTGGCTGCTGCTAATTGGCTGGGAAAATAACCCTAGGTTTTATCCCCCCCAGCCCCCTTTTTTCGTTCCCGTTTGCTGGCTTGCTTCATTGTTTTTCATGGCTGTTGGACTGAAATCTCTTGCTGAAGTTGCTGTGGCAGTTATGTGCTGGCTGGCAGGACATAACTGGCCAATTAAAAAACGCCCAAACCCACCCCTGCCACCCCTCCAAGCCACAAAAAAAGCCAGGTAGGAGCACCTCTCCTTAAGGTTGCAGCATTGTTTACCTCCCGATTTACTATATCCTCTTACAATAGTCCCTGCCAGTGTAGTGGAAGTAACTATGCGGCATTGGTATGTTGCTTTTAAAAACCTTGGGGTGTCTGCTCAAAAATAGAAATATCTTTGGAAAAACTGCCAGCAAAATGGTACTGCCCCCCAAGAAAGAAAATTCTAGAAGGATTATGTTGCCAGGTTTCTTTTAGCAGCAAGAAAAGAGTTCTACACGAACTCTTTTAAGACTGATGTGAATGTATCCTGCACAGATTAATTTGGGAAGCTAGCATAATGATTGCAACTATTCTTAGATTCTGATTAAAAATGTCTTAGAAAGAAGATGTATCTTTCTCCCACCCTCCAAATTTGTGACCATATTGAAGGGATACCGTAAAAGCAAGTTGTGAAGATCAGAATGCCTTTTCCAACTGCTGCTCTCAGCATCCCTGACCTTACCAATTACCACTCCTGCTCACAGAAGCCGCAGCAAATTATTACTATTACTCAAGCATGTTGAGAGCATTTTAAAGGCTTTAGTGAAATGTGTACAGTACATGTTCTGGTAAAGGGGACAATAATGATCTCAACCTGTGACTTCAGGTAGTGTGTCCCATTAAAAGCCCTTTTTAAAATGTGCTGTGTAATGGTTTCTCTCTGCTGTGCAACAGTAAGAGCAAGATCCCGCTACTGGGGCAGTAGCTTCTCTCCTAATAAGCACCCAGGGCTGTGATATGTTTACACCTTACATGATGCTTTTGAACTGCCTTACATGTTTTTCTACTATATGCTCTGTTTACCTTCTGTCTTATTCTCAGACATTGGATGTTGACTGGTTTTTCGCAGTGTGCTGCATAAATTACATTTCCATCTTTAATCTTGAAAATAAGACATTAACAAAATTCAGAAAAAATCAGCCCCTTTTTACAATTTATTATGTGCTTCCCTCTTTCTTGCTACTAAACTTGTGTTTCAACAGACATGATGAAGAAAGTTGTAAATATGATTGAAGATATGCAGAGGCTTTTATTTAAGCATACATATTGGTAATTCCTAAATGTTAAATATAATTTAAAAAATGACTAAATATGCAGATAAGTCAAAGACAAAATTAGAAATAAATTTGCCAAAATAATGTATAAAAGTGGTCTGTTATGGAAAAGTTCTTTTTCCCCTCCTTTTTTCTGTTGATGCTCCAGGACTTGGCTCAATATGTAAATGAAGTGAAGAGAGATAATGAGACACTCCGTGAAATTAGACAGTTTCAACTATCAATAGAGAATTTGGTACGTGATATTTTTCATTTATATACAGTTTTTGAATCACTTTTGATTAAATGTATTGATAGATGTATTTTTTTCCACCATTTCATATGATATTATAGTACTCTTGGTAATATTTAAGTATAAGTACACTTTGTTTGGTTTAGAATGACATGAATGTTTAAGTACAGGAATCTCTGCTATTTTGGGAGTCTGTAGTTAAATCTGTTTACATAGTTTGTAATTCTACAGTGACTCAGGTGTTTTTCTAATGGGAAAAATTTTCCCATTTGAAGACAAAAATGGAATGGACTGATTCTTTATTGTATTTGGTTTAGATGATAGTAAGGAAAAGATGTTGGTTTTGGCCCTGAAAAGTCCTTTTTTTGGGATAAAAAGAGTGGTCGGTCTAACATTTGAATGTGTTGTCATCTTGACGCTTTTGCTGTATTGAATCGTACGTTTTACTTCTGTTTCAGAATCATTCCCTCTTACAGTATGGAAGACCTCAAGGTGATGGGGAAATAAGGATAACTACGTTAGACAAACGTGCAAGGCAAGACAGGTGATGTCATGACTTCTGGTGTTCACTGTTAAAAGCCTGTAAAGTAACTCTCTTTTTAGATTTGAGGTCAGCTTAATGATTCTTGAGTACGTTCTGTTTCACCATGCCTTCACTGAGCCTATCCATGGTTTACCAAGTGAATTTGCAAAATGATTCGTGGGAAGTTAACTATTACGTTATCATCTAAGATCACCTAAATCCCTTGCAAGTAGTAAGTCTCTAGCAAAAGTACTTTCAGTGTGTTTTTTGTTTCATTATGCAGTAGTTTAGTTGTTCACCTTCAGAATTTTAAGTGCTACAGACAAAGGTGTGTAAAATAAGACTTTGGGTGTTGGCTTTCTGGAGTGTTTTTAACCATCTTTATGTTGCATTTTCATAGGCATATCTTCTTGTTTGATCTAGCTGTAATTGTTTGCAAACGGAGAGGTGATAATTATGAAATGAAGGAAATAATTGATCTTCAGAAATACAAAATTACGAATAACCCCACTACTGATAAAGAAAATAAGAAGGTAAATATTTGTTGCTAATTCATAAAAAATTGTATGTTTTTAGCAGCAATTTGAGACGTTTTGCAGGACTTCGGAATGTATATACAATGTATGCACAATGTATTTATAAAATTTTATGTTTTAAATGCAAGCTGAAGTGAATGTTTAGGGATTTCAACTTTTGTTTATTTTGATGTAATTAAAATGTTTGAGTAAGTTATTCCTAAGTGAACACAATTATGTGGTCTTGCTGTTCCTGCAATCAGGGACTTAAGGAACATACAAATGCTTCTTTCTTTTTTCTTTCTTTTTCTTTTTTTCTTCTTTTCCTTTCTTCATAACTGACGTTTGTATTGCCAATCTTTTTATGCAGTGGTCTTACGGCTTCTACCTCATTCATATCCAAGGTCAAAATGGTTTAGAAGTTTATTGCAAAACTAAAGACTTGAAGAAAAAATGGCTTGAACAATTTCAGATGGCTCTGTAAGTATATTTTTATTAAGGTACAATTACGTTCATCACCAGTGTAAGGATATCACTTAAATTATGCTGAATTTCTTTCATGTTCAGATTTTTTTAATACAGCCTAGTTATCTGTTTTATTTGACTTTCTGAGAAACAACTGACTGACATTTTCATGAACAGAGTATTTCCCTGAAACTCCTGTTGGAAAAGAAAGAGGGCACTCTAGGCTATGTATTACTTTCCAACTTTGCTGCAAAGACTCTTTTAGTACTACTGTCTTAAACAACCAGGGGGAAATACTAATTATTTTAGCAATAAATATCTAACATAAGTGACATTTTTCCCCTCCCATTTTTATTTTGATTAATTGAAATACATTTTTTCGAAAGGTGATGCTGATGATTTGAGAGATGATCCTGGCATTTTTCCTAGTGGCTTTTAACTAATTAATTGTTTAGTATTTGGATCAAGTGGCTTGGCTTATAAAGGAAATCAGTGTTTTGAAACTAAATTTAATATGTTTTCAACTAAAAAAGGAGGTTGCTTTAAACTTCTCAAAAAATAAGTTGTTCTTATGCAGCACTGCAGATTACATTATTGTTATGCAGCATGAGCTTTATTTCCATTTCTGATTCTTGTCAGAAAGACAAACATGATTATTGACACCTTGGGTATTCTGATTAAATTTAAAACATGTGAACAAGGGGACTGGATGACAGGACGATGCTTGCTTTATGGTAAAAAAAAAAAAGTGTGAGGGGGAGTGAGATACTCCCAGTGAAAATAGAGACAGCATTAATAAAGATTGTTTTGGATGTGATTGTAAAGGTATGTAAATTTGGAGAAAGGCTATTATGAGCTGATATCAGTGAAACTTGCTCATAAACCATATATATATTTTTTAAAACCTTAGTATGATGCGTGCTGATGTTTTAAATGAAAACATAAGGGAGGAGAGCCTAGGCTGAACAGATATCATAAGGCCTGCTTGCAAGGATTCCCATCTTGACGATTTTTATTGAAGACAAAAATACCGTGTGTTTTGGCAGAAATTTCTGGTAGCATAGTGGGGGACAGGAAAAGGTATTTATTTGTATGTGTGCAGAAAGCTGAGTTCTTTGCCTCTTTTTGTCCCTGTGCTCTACCTTCTGCATTTCCTGTAACATCATTATTGATATTTACTTAAACATAGATAAAATGTGTATGGAAAGCATGAGGAACTTAGATTTATCAGCTTTAGCATTGCAACTATTGATCACTCTTTAGGCGTCCTGGCCCAGTGCACAAAAAAACCCAACCAAACAAAACAGAAATCAGCCAAGGAGCTAAGGAGAGTAGCAAGAGCGCTAAGTGTTGTGGTGTTTTGGTTTTTGTTTTGTTTTGTTGTTTTGTTTTGTGTTTTTTTTTTTTTTTTTTTCCCCCCTGGAAGCATATCCTCAGTTCTTCCCAAACATTTTTATGGTTGTGTGCAGGACAGGCACCGACCCTGCCCCCCCGCCTCCCCCCCAGGCTGTGTGTGTGATGGGTGCAGCTCTGTGTCCTTACACAGTGTTAGGCACCCGCCAGTGCTCATGAAGTGTTCATGACTGTGCCTTTGGGGACAATGGTTTACTGCTGCCAGTTGCCCTATGTGAGCAAAACAAACGGGACCTGAAGGTTTGACAAGTTAATGGGCTACTCTTTCCTCTTGGGTAGATGGAGTTGGTCATTGAAAATGAGTGGTGGTGTCAGCCTTGTCTTGCATGGATGTTTGTCCTTCTCGTAAACCCATACCTCTAGTTTAACCTCTTCCTGTGTGGTTAAAGGCTGTGATGCAGAAGCATGGGAACTGGAGCAGCAGGGTTGCTGCAGGTTGGGGCTGAAGTGCAACATGATATAGTGGCATTATTTGCATTGGGCAATGCTTTTGCTCCCTTATATCTATAACCACTGGGATTGAAAACAATGAGGAGCTTTTATGCTTTCTCAAGTTTTTATAACTTCCCCTCAACTCTGTTACATGGGTTTGACTTCATAGTGTATTTCCCTCAGCAGCTCTCCTAAAACATACCTCGGTGTATGCAGTGATAATTATATTCTAATGCATGCTGAGGCACAAGAGTTTGTATTTGGGAATAAACTAAGCCAAGTGTTTTGAACAATTGGTTGGTTGGTTTGATTTGTTGTTTTCAGGGGTCTCATTACCTACTGTGTAGGTTATCTGTTCTAGTGTGATTCTACTCTGAAAAGTAGCCATGATTGAAATTATGCTGCTATTCATCATACTTAATTATAATTGCTGTTTCTATGGGCAAAATACTTCTCATTACTTAAAAATTTTACTAAGACTGCAAAACCAGCACAGTCGAAGGGGTGAATTACATTTTTTTTTTTTTTTGATTATCAGAAATGATGGTGTTTACTGAGTTCTAGGCAGAAATTTCAATGCAGTTTTGTTGCTTTCGGGGTAGTGTTCTTTATGAAGTCAAGTCTGTGCAAGTGTTAATCTAAGAACATAACAAGAGAAGAAATTGGGATCTCTTTTATTATTTTTAAATTAAGAATTAACTTTGTTGCTACTAGAACAGTTTTATTGACATAACTATGTTAGCTAGGCTGTAATTTTTTATTTTTATTTTTTAGGAGCTTAGATGTTTATACTATTGTATGAACAACAGTGATGATAGTTATATTGCTGAAAAGGCACCTACTGTTGAGATGCTGGTGTCATTGAGATGAGAATTTGTCTCCAGATATAGGATGCTCATGTTATTGATGAAGTATGAAATACAGCAGAACGCTGCTTTGCTGGCTGCACTTGGTTTGGGTTTGGAGGGCAGGAATACACAAGGCACAACTGATATGGAAAAACACTGAAGGGAAGGAAGGATGAAGTCCTAGTGCAACTTCGAGTGTTACTTTTCAGACTAGTAAGTTTCTGCTAGAAAACTAGTTTCACAGGCGTGTGAAATTATTCTACCTCTTAGCCAGCTCTGTTGTTACTGTCATATATGGTGAGTTCTTTTGTTTGAGGGATGTTGGGAGCAATGGGTTACAGGTCATAACAAACTGAGTAAATTGTTTTTATTCATATGGCAGTTCTGTTGCTACAGTGTGTATTTGCTGTTTTGCTGAGACTATTGCTTTATTTAGAAAATATATAATACCAAAACACCTGAATTTTTATTCTTCCTATGAATTTCACAAGGGTTATTGATGAAGTCACTGCATCCTCAGCAGCAATGATACTGAGGCATGGCTGCACTGAATTTGATGCTATTGACCTGTTCACAGTAATCTCCACAGTTGAGGCTGGGTCACCTCCTTTCCTTCCTGGTGCTCCCCATCCCCTCTTTTTTTTTTTTTTTAAATTTATTGTGTACAGCCTTCAAAATTGCTGGTTCTTTGTGAGCACTGGATTTTCTAGATGACAATAAAATGAAGTAGGACACTGGGAGAGCACAGTTAACATGGCAGTCAAGATCTTGAAGCTGAAACTTTGGTTGAACTCATAAATCTGATGAATTTGAGAGGTTTTCATAAAGCTCTCAGGCCAAGAGACCAGTGGAGGATGTTTTAATGGGAGCCATCATATTACAAATGGCTGAGTTATCTCTTGGTATGCCTGTTCCCTCACTCATGTGAATGCAAGTTTTGCCTGCACAGAGGGAGTGTAACCACTTATTGCCTCTGAAGAGCCAGCAGTGTGCCCAGGTGGCCAAGAAGGCCAACAGCATCCAGACCTGTATCAGAAATAGCATGGCCAGCAGGACTAGGGAAGGGATGGTCCCTCTGTACTCAGCACTGGTGAGGCCACATCTCAAATACTGTGCTCAGTTTTGGGCCCTTCACTATGAGAAAGACATGGGGATGCCAGAGGGTATCCAGAGAAGGGCAATGAAGCTGGTGGAGGGTCTTGAGGTAAGTCTTACGGAGAGTGGCTGAGGGAGCTGGGAGAAAAGGAGGCTGAGGGGAGACCGTACCGCTCTCTACAACTACCTGAGAGGAGGTTGTAGCGAGGTGGGGATCGGTCTCTTCCCCCAAGTACCAAGCAATAAGACAAGAGGAAATGGCTGCACATTGCTCCAGGGGAGGTTTAGATTGGATATTAGGAAGAATTTCTTTGCTGAAAAGGTTATCAAGCATTGAAAGAGGCTGCCTAGGGAAGTTCTGGAGTCACCATCCCTGGAGGTGTTTGAGATGTGTAGATGTGGCACTTAGGGACATAATTGAGTGATGGTCTTGACTGTGCTAGGTTTATGGTTGAACTTGATGATCTTAAAGATCCTTTCCGACCTAAATGATTCTGTGATTCTTCTGTGATTCTAAGAGATGTGGTGCTTAACAGTCATAGTGGTTAATTCGAGCAGTTGTTATTTTGTTCCTGGAACTCTGTTCATAGTAATGGATAAGCCTATAGCTGTATGGGTAAATAGGCACCTTTTAAAATATAGTAATACAAAGACTTTACTGTACCAGACATGGAATGTTTAAATTTAATCTAGCATGTGAAATACCATTGGTTTAAATCCAAAGTCATTCCATATCCAAGATAATATTAATAGAAGTGTACAGCCAAATTACTGCACCAAATTACTCAGCCAAATTAGAGACATCATGTATTAAGTGAAAGTTTGTCAGCAATGTGATAAAGTGCATGGTTTATTTGCTGTAACTAAGTCATTAAAAACCTCAAAGATTGGTTGTGAGTGAGACACAATTTTGTTAGATTTTCTAGTAGCATATCCTGTCTAATCTCTTTTCTCCTGTATTAAAAACAACCAGAAGAATCAATACAAATATGTAATGTCTCATACCTACAAATTACGTGAAATATTTGATGCTTTTATGTTATTCAGCTTATGCTAAAAGGTAGGAGCATTGATTACTTTTTTTTTTCCCTAGAAAGCTCTCCTACAGATGTTTTTCTTATTTTAAAAATGCTTGTTTTAAAAAAATAGTTGACTAATATATGTGTCAATGAATTTATGCTAATCATTCTTTATTAAAAGAAAAAACTCATTGGAAGTTGAAGTTGT